GTCCAAATTCGCGGGATCGCGGCGCTGGAAAATCGAAACGCAGGAACTCTCGAATGGTTATCCAAAGTGAACATAGTTGGGAGCGACGAAATTTCGATTCACGGTGCACTACGGGCTACTGATAGAAATCCCGCGGTGGCACCATCGTTGTTGCGGCACCGACAGCGACACTGACGGTAGACGGCCTATGGCTAGAGGAACGTAAACCGATATTCGTGACGTCAAGCCGTGGCGGGAAACGACGCCCCCCCGCGCTCCGCCGGCTCGCCCCTTCCTAACCTTGAACTTGGCTGGCTGTGCCCGCGCCGCCGACCGCCCCTCCCCGCCCCACCTAGCGCCACCACCGCCGCCCGCCTACCATCGCCTGCAACTGTCTCACTCTCTCTTTCGGATTATCGACCTATATTGCAACTCCTCTCTCCTCTCTCTCCGTACTCTCTCGCCCCTCCCCCCGCCGATTCATACGACGTTCATTCATTACTCCATCAAATAAAACTGGCCCTCCTCAAGGGCCTCCGATCCCAGGACCTCGTGGGATTGCACCATAGTGCCTCAATTTGCGAGATGAGCCGACATCATAACCAAATTGGGCGGGGTGGGCGCTCACCTCACCGATGGAAAATCACGGGTTAATCATCACGCCGAATTTCGAGAGGACATTCAAGGAGACGAGATTCAGGTGGTTTGGAGAAGTTTCCGAAACTTATCTCGAAATTAAACAAACAATATCAGCGCAAGCCGCCGATTGTGCGAATGCATCGCGATGGTTGTGAGGATGATTCAACTGGTGCTCGTCCTTAATCCAAGTTTGGGGTTTCTTATCTACGAAACATGAGCAATCGCAGGAGCATTCAAAACGGAACTGCGCGATGATGAAATGCGACGTCAGTATCGGTTTAAAAAAAAACAATATCGTCATTAGGGAAACTCATGTGAAGTGCCTAAGAAGAATTTGCAGAGCGCTAAAAATGATAGCCAATGGATCTAACATTTACGTTTTCGATGGAGAAAAAAAAGTGACCACACTCCAGATAAAAAAATCAGGAGTGGGAGAGATAGGTCCAAAAAATCCCTAAGCTGATAAAATAGCGTAAGTAATAGAAAAAAATTATGGAAAGGAAAAAATAGTTTTGAAATTACTGACTGACTGAATAGTTAGAAAAATGTCATCTTGAAATTTTGATTTTAGTATGCACTGGTAAAAGCATTCGCTCAAGATGAACTGAAGCATTTTTAAAAAGGGAGGGAAATGAAAGTAAATATTCAACGCAAAGAGCGCAAATTGAGGAGAGCAAATCAAAATGCTGGCAAGGAACATTACGCATTAATTCTCCATACACTCACTCGAATGAGAGAGCATGAGTGAATTGAGAGCGTGTAGTGTACAGCGCTCGCCGCGAGAGGGCGCTGCGATCATCGCGACGAGAAGTTAGTTCAGCGCTTCGTCGACAGAGCGCAGGAGATGCCCGAATCCTACCGCGACGAGAGTGATAACAGCGTGCCACGCCGCGCGCCGCACATACTCAATGACTCAATTATCACAAGGTGCTTGCAACGTGAGCACACTGTCAATATCAAAAACTCGATTAGTTTCGATGAAAAATGACACTTGTCTAGAAAATTATAATTTTACTTTAATTCATCTCCTTACTTCCACAAGCTAACCTCTTTTCGAACTGAACCACTAAAATTTAGGCAAGTGCTTGATAGAGTTCAAATTGAATATTAATATAATGGCAAAAGTGCCATTTAGGTAATGCAAATTGAAGCCCTCAATTTTTAATTTTATATAGCCCAACAGCCAAGCACACATGGAAAAAGATAGATTTTTAGATACATGATTTTTTCAATATTGGCCAAAAGTTATCAGGGGATCTGAGAAATAATTAAAATTATCGGAATGCTGTGGGGTTAAGCTTCATTTACAAAAAAAGTAACTATATACAGCAAAAGATAGAAAAAGCGTGATCAATTAAAATATTAAGAGGCAATTTAATTTGAGAAGAATCATAATAAAATTATTTGCAGGTCTAAATCAAGGCAACAATTGAAACTTGAAAAATTCAGGTAGTTACTAGCTCTGAGAAGTGAAAAATAATCTTTAGAATTTCGTAAGTTAGATGATTACAAAATTTCAAGCTCAAAACAATCGATCCGATATGAAAATCGTCGGGAACTTGAACGCACAAGTAGAACGAGTGCCGCGCCAATGAAAAGCGCCTTCAAAGCGGCGTGGATACCACTAATCGTACACCTAGATACATTTCGATATACTTTGCTGTGTTTAGCGCATAAGCGTTCAATTGAAGGCGTTTTTAATGCCGTGCGCGCCAGTCGCTCTATCATTCCGTTTCTATCCCAATACGATGTTCATTTGAATTTTAAACGTTCGTTATTGTGTTGGCGGAGGGGATTTCTTGTTATACCCTTTTTTTCTCTCTACCTCTTTTACTAATTCTATGAAAATGGTTCCGATAACGATAAAAACGATATCATTGAAAATGAAATAGATCAATGCTGGAGAGAATTTTTAAAAAACTGAATTTACAACAACTCTAATACTTTTTTCACCTTTTTTCTCTCTACCTTTTTTACTAATTCTATGAAAATGGTTCTGATGACGATAAAAACGATATCATTGAAAATGAAATAGATCAATGCTGGAGAGAATTTTTAAAAAACTGAATTTACAACTCAAATTCTGCCAATACCAGAGATAAAGTGATACTTATAAATTTATTTACAGAGCGACATGAAGAACTTTTCCGCAGCTACGGATGAATTTTAATCCTTTGAACACAAGAAGGAGCATCCTGTATGCTTGTAGATTTCTATTACATTGAGAGTGTTTCTTTTTCAGCCGCAACCTCTGCTTCAATTTCCTACTTTAAGCCACGTAACCGCTTCCAACAGAGGGTCATAATTGGATCAAGGGGGCACTTCCCAGGTGCAGTACGGGCCGGAGACCATCCCGAAGATGCAGGAAGCAACCGTTCGCGCCGCGCGGAGAAACTCGAGCGAGAAAGCTCGAAAACGCGACCGAGCTCGTGACGAAACCGCGCGGGAGAGAAAATCCCGGGACCCGCGGAGAAATCGGGCCCTCCGAGATCCGCAAGGTGAGGGCGAGCGCGGAAAGGTAAACAGAGGGCGATGATCGATTTACGGGCCCCGCGACCGGACCAAACCGTTTCCTGCTCCATCCCGGCCTGGGACCCGGAGAGATTGAGGAGAAAGTGGGCCCGCTTCTCCGCGACATGACACGGCCGCGCGTTACATCACGGCGGCGCGGTTACATTACTTCCGTCACTTTCACTCCTTTACCTAATACATCTTTGCCCCGGCGCAATGCCCCCTCAGCCCCCCCCTCCCCCCGGAGAGTCCCCCTTTACCCGGTCGCGTCTGCTAATTGCAGCGGCATCCAAATTTGAGTGTCCGACTTGGTGTCTCGTTTTACATGTGCACATAACGCGTCAGCCTCCAATGAGGAGCGCGGGGGGAGGGGTGGGGGGCGGGCGAAGGCTCCGGCCCGAGCGGCGCGCGAGCGCATTTCGTTCGGCTCGCGAAGTAGTTCACCAGTTCGTTCACACCGGCACATATTCCAACTCTTACACAACGCTTAACGAATAACCTCCAATCTGTTTGCCACTCTTAATTGCGGTCGAAGGCAGCTCGGCGCCGCCGCCTCGCCGCCCCCCCCCCCCCCCCCCCCCCCNTTCGAGCCTTCCCGTGTCCCAGTCTGAGTCCAGCGCCCTGAGCCCGTTTCGGCGCGGATAACGCCCTTTTCAGCGACCTAACCGTCGTCTTCCGCTGTGGCGCTCGCGTTATGCCTCATCGCCAACCCTTTGGAAAGACACCTTAGATGGTTCTTTTGATTTGCATTGTACGATACAATGGATGTGAAAATGACGAGAGTGTGACGGAGGGGTGGGGGGGATGATTTCTACAACCGTTCTTTGTAGGTTTGTTCGAGATTTCAATTAAAATGTTTGATTATGAATTATGCTAAAATTGTAGGTTATGTTTACGTTGGTATGGATTATAAACATGCAATTTTTTTTGGGGGGGGGGGGCTGTAAACAA